GTATCATGTGATGTCCACGTGACCAAATCTGGAGGAATTCTTCCTGTTCCGACAAGAACTGAAATTTTACGAACTCTTCCAACTACATTTGGACAGCATCGTTTATGTCGGGTATTTCCTGTCGTGTATGTACGCATACTGAGGAAAACTTTTTTCTTTTGCCTGTTGCCTACATGCAACACATTTTTGCTCCCTTCCTTCATATTTTTTTTCTATTTTCTTGCATGCACATCTAAACTTGTAGGATAAAGCCAGGGTTACCTTGTGACCCTTGAAGTGTGGCATCATGATCTATTTATATCCGTTGGCGATACCTGACCTACGTTTTATCACAAGTCGCCAGGGAATCTTTTGCCAGGAAACCAGACTTAGCTGGGCGGATCCTGACCAGGACTTTTTCACCCATAGGTGGAGCAGTAGTTGACATGGTGCAAGGCCGTTTTTGCATGCCGTGGGCTTGCAAGCCATGTCTATGCGGCCAGCTGCAGCTTGGAGATCCCCTTCAGTTCAGCCTGTGGTAGCACTTCAGTTACCCTACATTGCACTCAGCAAGGGAGAATCAACAGTCGACTTCCCTTTTCGCCTCAGACAGGGTTATAGCCAATGGTAGCATCTGAAGATAGAAGTGGGATATGTAATATTGACAACACCACTAGATCACGCCCATCACACACACCGGCACCCAAGTGTGGTTCGCCAGCACTTTTAGAGGCCGCTGTTGTTCACCTTTTGCTCGTATAATGTTTGTGGTAGATCTCCCATATTTTTGTGCATACTTTCCTTCAAGGACCCCGAAAACTGGGGACGCTAGTGTCCTTATTGCTCGGGGTCCCGAGCAATAGGCTGGACTGCAGGGTTGTGGGTGAATGACTGACCCCCACCTTGAATTCTCAAACCAATCTGAAGCTCCACTGTCGGGTTGTCGATGAATGACCGACCCCCATCTTGCATTCTCAAACCAAATGCTTCACTCGATCAGCTTCATTTTTTTTTACTAAACTGAAAAAAGCAGTTTTGCAATTCAGATAAAAATGTGGTGTTTCCCAGGCTGAATTTGTTGACTCTTGAAATGCCCGAGGATAACAATTGAATGATTAAGACTATCAAAATGAAAACAATTGAAACAGCTGCTGTTTGCAGGGAATTTGCACAGACTTGTTTAAAACATTTAGCGGGGTATTTTAAAGGTTAATTATACGGATGAAGAACATGTTTAAAACATGTTTGAAATAATGGAGGCGGTTGCACTTCACATTTTTAGTGGTTCATTACAGTGTTTAAAGAAGTGTTACCGAGTACCAGGCGTAAGGGGTCTACATTCAACAATCAAACAACCTTGTTTGACATTTTGAACAAGGTTGTTCATGTGCCATGTGTAAGCAACGGTAATTTACATTATTTTTAACAATGATATGTATCATATTAGTTTCCCCCAATTATGCCACCGTATTCAAACAATCAGATTTTGATAGGCTGCCATCTGCAATTGATTCTGTATTTGCATCATGAGGAAAGAAGCAAAGATATGTTTATTTCACATGTAAATAATATTCAGGTAAAGAACCCCAAAAGGCTTAACTTCAATATTGGAATTTGTAGTGTAGAACCGGAACAGGGTTTTATATGATTCTGCGAAAGATGCGAGGGCGAGGAACGTGCTATAATGCTCTTGTACAGCGTTAAATTTGTAATTTAGTTCAATAGGGAATGCCACGACAAGGAATTTTTTTATTACAGCATTTTTGTAGTTTTAGATCCAGGAACACACATGCTTCAGTGTGGTTTTGAACTTGTAACCCTGTTCAACCGGGGACGCAAACACTGGGAACATTTGGTGAAATGGCGTGTTACATTGCTCTCCTGCTCACGTAACGGCCAGGAAAAAGCCATATTTATCCCCGACTTGGCAATTGAACTGCTGTGACCCTACATAAACAACTTGAGCATCAGGGTCAGTAGTGTCCAACATGTTTTAGGCTGTCTTTAAGTAAGTGGCAAAATACAAGGGAGGAAATCATATTTAATTGATATCAAACCCGGACAATGAAACCACCAAAAGTTGGTTTTAAAAAAGACTGTGCATAGTTATTAGACGGAAGTGTTTAGACTCTTTAATCAGCCTGTCCTTCTTTGCTTTGGCGTAGTAGTAGCAGCAACAGCAGCAGCAGCAGCAGCAGCAGTAGTAGTAGTAGTAGTAGTAGTAGTAGTAGTAGTAGTAGTATGAGCTGTTGTTGTTGTTGTTTGTTGTTATTGTTGTTGTTGTTGTTGTTGTTGTTGTTAACACCATGAGCATAAAATCACTTTCAACATGTGATCCCAGACTAAAGTAACAGTGACATTTGTAACATTTGCCCAAAGTAATAATCTCCTACGACAGTTATTCTGAACTAAACGTAGAAGAATAACTGCACAACTACACCAATGATTTTGCAACCATCTTACATTCAGATTGGCTTCAAGACAGAGTTCACAGAAGTTTTGCTTACTGTTCTGTCAAAACAAACTAAAGTGAGGGAGTCCCTCATCATTTACAGAAGGATGGTTATGTCTATACAATATGCAGTCTTTCCCATACAAAAGGTCAACAGGTACCAGCACAGTTTATAAAATACCCTTAAACCTATCCCATATCCACTCTTATCCACACAATACTGAGGCTTACTTTTGTTTATAGCCATAAGCCATACTTCCAACACATATTTATGTGACTTTGATATAGGTCAAAGTTTGTTAGAGAGACTACTACGTACACTGCTATAGTTGGGCACATCTAGACTCTTATCAAGTAACAAGTTGGCGGTGAAAGGACAAAAAACCGGTCAAAATGGAAAAGATAGCTCCCTAATTACAACACTTAAATGGAAAGCGGGGGATTCCTATTTCCTACCGCATTGGGAGCTGGCAGGGAGGCAAGGAGATTTAGAATAAAAATCTAGGCTACAATTGTGCCATCAACAGTTACTTCTGATGTATTTAATTTCACTGGTTACTGATGCATTACTTTCAAAATGACATTCGTTGATTCTGAAAAGTTGCGGTTTTCAAGATTATTTACAAAAGTGTAATAGTCACTCTTCTTGCAACAATTTTATATGACAATTAGATGGATAAATGATGATGTCACATCTAGACATGTATCGTATAACTTGGAATCACGCTCGAATTTCTTTTCAGCTTTGTACAAATTATTGTTAAACATACTGCCCTCAAGTACAACTCATACTAAGACAACGGGTAACTTGACATATTCTATCAAAAAAGAAAAAACGAAACACAACAAATACCAACAATCAAAAGGCAAAAAATGAAAAGAGAAAGGAATGAGAGGCAAGGTAAAATGTACAGTAGATGCATTTACCTTGCCTTATTTTGCGTGACCTTTACCTTGCCTCCCTTCTACTATCGGAAAATATATCGGGCGTAGGCAAGGAGGATTGTCGACATGTTGCGAGAGCCAATGCCTTGGAAATTCCCGCATTTAATACCAGCACCTCTTCATTCCTCAAAAATGTGAGTAGTCACTCTGTGAACCTGTCACTGAGTTCTGGGCAATCCAACCCCACTATGACCCCTGAAACTAAATCTTCCTTTTTATCTTGATGTTTCCATTAATCTAATGGACAAAAACATATCTGTTTAATTATTTGATTAAAATGTGACGTTTTCCCAGAGACTGCAAACAAATTTCTTGACTTGTCAAATACAGGAATAATAGACGGAAAATTGCAACCATATTCGTATCACTAGCATCAAACTCTGCAGTTTAGGAAATTGAACTGCATAATTTGAATCGTAGGCTTTGTGGTTAGTACATAGTTAGGGAGGTTTTTAGCGAGGAGCTAGAGATGCGTTCTGTCACAAACCTTAATGTGCTAGATAAGGCAGATTTGGTTATTTGAAAATCTACTGCAACTCCTAAATGAAGATATTGCAAAATGTTGTGAAAAGTTTCTTTGACGGGTTCGGTCTCTTTATAAGATCAAATTGTACAGTTTCGGACAGATAACACTTGATCATTTTTGTCATGTTATTTTTGAGCCATATTTTGTAGCGTTAATACTAATTTTCACCCACTAATTAAGTTACTCCCCTCTAAAGCTTACAGTCGGTATCGAGAACAGAGGCACACCCGAGCGGAATTCCCCCTACAATGTCTCCTACAGCAACCCCCCCCGTACACACACCCCGGTTATACTGAACCGGACTTGGATGTACGGCTGTATCCGAGTTTGTAGTTTAAAATGAAGGTGTATGTTGTATTATCTTTTGCAGGAAGAACACCAAAAATCCCTTTGGAGCCGGGTCAAGCCCCCATGCACGTTTGATCAAGAACGCCTACACATTCAGTCATAGGCAAAGCTAAATTTACACCCATTTTTCTAAACGCTCGTAGGTTACTGACACAATGGATTCAGGTTGTGTCTTACGATCGATGTAATGGAATCAATGCAATTTGAATGTCTACGTGCTCACTCCTTGGCTACCTGCAGTCATGTTTGTGCAGTGACACACATGCAAGCATGTCGGTTAGCTCCGAGTTCTTTGAGGGGGCGGTACTTCACCGCACAGCTGTCTCTAATTGGTTCTTTCATTTGTATACCAAGCTTAAGGCCTAGTCCTATGGTTTTGTGCATGGAAAATTTTTGGGGTGTGTAAAGGGGTAATGCTCTTTATTAAACTCAAAACTGTGGATTTCAGTCTTATCATTCCTTTCAATTTGGTTTCCATTTTTTTTATTTATTTATTTACACCGAACGATCGTAAACCTAAATCTTAATTCTGTAGAATGGAAATGAGGTTTACACAAAAAGGCATTAATAATGAACTGGAATCATATCTTGGAACTCATTTGCGTGACTTAGATGGGCAATTAGACACTTCCTTCTGTGATAAAACGTACTTTAGGAAAGTAGATACGTAATGCAAGTAATCTGAAACATTTAGGGGTTTTATCTAAATCGTTCAAAATAAAGGATCAAAATTTGTCTATAAAAGAACAGGCCGGCGGACCCAATACTATAGTCACTATTGTTGATAGACCTGTGAAGTCAGCTCATAATGCGTACTTTGGTTCTTCTGTTGTTGGTGGGTGTAGCTGCAGCCGGTCTTGCTCCGCTGTACAAAGTTGACGAGAACGTCAAAGGCAGCTACATCATCAAATTCAAGTAACTAGTGCTAAGTAGAATAAGTGACGACAGATGATTGTATTGTAACATTTCTAAGCAAGTTTTAAATAATGTGTTAATATGCTCTGCTTTATATCCCAGGGATGACTTGGATGTTGACATCACTGCTGATGGCATACAGCGTCGTGTGCAAAGGCAGCGTTTGGGTCGAGCTAACTTCTCTCGTCGCTACCACCATGCCTTGAAGGGAGTGGCTGCAGAACTGTCAGAAGAAGCCCTGCAATATGTAAGAATGGAAATGATTTGTCTACGTTTACTTTGTTGTTTGATTCTTTAGAAAATCATCGGTTGAATATTGCTGCTTGAAAATATGTTATTATTGTTAAGGCTGATTACAGTATATTTAGAACCAATTAAATATTCATTAGAACGAAATGAGAGTCTTTTTGAAATATTGGTATCACATGAAAATGAAGATAGTTATTGAATTGGAAGATAGGGCCTACTTTGATTTCAATGAAGTACCGACAAGAAAGACAAAATAGGAAAAGTTACTCATTTTTCTGCCTGAATATTGAGGTGCTTGGTTTCTTGCACAACTCTTTTGTGACAATTACCTTAGGCGTCCTTTGTGGAAAATACTTGCGCTTTTGCACGTCTGATATTTGTGTCACATTTTTATCAGGTGCAAAGCCTGGATGAGGTCGAGTATGTGTCTGAGGATGGCATTGCGCACACCACTGAAATACCCTGGGGACTAGACCGGATTGGACAGAGAAACTTACCACTAGATAACAGCTTCACTACTAACTCCGATTACAGTAAGAAACTTTGTTTACGACTGGACAGGAAGTCACAATAACGTCCGTTGTGTAATATATGATGCTTTAAAATGAGCTGATAGGCCCTATTTATTCGGCTTAAGTTCAAGCCTCCCTTTTCGAAAATCCGAGATCAAGCCTCCCTTGGGAAAATCCTGGATCCAACCTTGCTGATTCTATTTAGGCTGAATACTGCTCGATTGTGTATTTATGATGTTGGTTGTTTGTATGAAATGTTTAGACCAAGTGTTACTCACTTGCAGTGGACATAGAGAATTTGAAGAAAATCAGCGAAGTCGTATCGATTTTCTTAAATTCATTGTTAATGTTAATGAAAAACCTGAATTTTCGTAAATGCTATAGAGTAAAACGTATCGCCATGCAAAGTGATCAGCAGAAATTTTTACTTAGCCTTTCGGGGTTTGTTTATTCAGAAGGCGGAAAAGGAGTTGAAATCTGGGTCGTGGACACTGGTATCCGAACTACGCACAGTGAATTTGGAGATAGAGCCACGGTGTCGTTTGATGCCTATGGTGATAATGTGAGTTTCAGTCCTTTTAAAGAAATCTTTAAACAAGAAGCTGTAAATTTACTCCTTTGTCTTATGTGTGATTAGCACTAGCTGAAAAATAATTGAAAAAGTGCGAACAACAGGAAATGAAACATGCAAAGCTAAATGACTTCCTCAGGTACGAGCCTTGCCTTTTAACTCATTGACAATTTTGAGCACCGTGCATATAGACATCATTACATGTATATATTGGTAAAATAAGGCATTAATGTGTTATCCTTTCATCTTTGATTAGGGTGAAGACTGCAATGGTCATGGCAGCCACTGTGCTGGTATTGCAGCAGGTCAAACCTATGGAGTAGCCAAACAAGCAAAAATCAGGGGGGCTAGGGTCCTGTCATGTTCTGGCAGTGGTTCCTACTCGAACGTTATTGGAGGTAATTAAAGGCAATGATCGCCTATCTGGTTTTATACATGATAAAAGCTTCAACCAAAGTAAAAAATTCTATAATGGCTCATGGCCAATTTGGGAGCTTACTGCAAGTTTTATCCTCAAGGTTGAGGTTTTGGCCTTCAGGGCAAAGACCCAGGCTTTGACCCCGGCAGCATTTATTCAGCCACCACATCACCTCTTCTGGGCAGTTTTAATTGAGTTTATCAAAGTGATTCATATCTGAAGCTCTTTCCGGCAACAGAAAACCCACTGGTTGGTGTTTAGTAATGGTATGTCATTTACTCCTCACTGTAAGTAAATAAATAAAGAACCAGGACAAAATCCAAATAGCTTTCAGTGTTTTTTTTTTTTTCCTCTTTCCGTTCAGGATTGGATTATGTCATTGCCAATGCCAACAAACCGGCTGTTGTGTCTATGTCTCTTGGAGGATCCATTTCCACAGCTTTAGATAACGCAGTGAAGAAAGTGTATAAGGAAGGAATTCCAGTCGTTGTTGCTGCTGGTAACAGCAATCTCCGTGCTTGCTGGTCTTCTCCAGCTCGCACTCCCGAGGTACATTCAACAGACTAACGTATAACGCGTACCTCCAACATGCACCCCAATTCCACTCGACGGATACTCCTCAAGCTGTGAAGAAAGTTGTTTTCATTGTTATTATAATCCACGGAATGAAAGCGTTTATAATGAAAGATCGAAAAAACTCTAGATCAGTTGAAGGCTTCAGGACAGTTAACACCAAATTCAAGTACAGTGACAGTTACGAGGAGTCTTGTTGCATGAACCATAGCCATGACGGTAGACAAAAAAAACAGGAAAAAAGAAGTGATTCTTGTACCGAATGTGAGGGTCATTATTACAAGCTAATAACTACAGTGTAGAACATCACGATTTAAATGAGTGCTTAATTTTGCTCACGGCAGGCAATTACAGTAGGATCAACAGATAACTTGGACCACAGGTCTTACTTTTCAAACTACGGGAAGTGTGTTGACATCTTTGCACCGGGCAGCAAAATAAAAAGCGCTTGGCACAATTCTGACAGTGCAACAAACACAATATCCGGGACCTCCATGGCCTGTCCACACGTTGCAGGTGAGAAACTCCAGAAAATATCAAATCGTACTTTGTTTGTCAAGTCAGCTTAAATGTTCACAATAAAGTTTGCTCGCCGTCCGAGCATTCTCCATTTTTCAGTCAGTCATTCAGTCTTTTTCCTCTGTTGTTTCTTCAGTTTTGCCCTCCTCTTTTTTCATCCTTTCTCTTCTTTAATCTTTGTTTTTCCTCCCTCTTTTTCTGATTGCATTTTTTTCATTTTCTTACTCTAATTACTCACTCTTTGGGAGACTGATCTTAAGAGTGACCTTAAAAATTTCTGATTGACTATCACAGGAGTCGTTGCTCTCCACTTGGCTGAAAATCCAAGTATGTCACCTGCGGATATTGAGACCGAACTCGAGACCTCAGCAACCGAGGACGTTCTTTTAAGCATTGGTTTTGGCAGTCCCAATCTTCTCGCATATATAAAACCTTAGAAATCGGCCATGGTGAGGTTGACAGGTTTTGGACACTTCTTGACACTTCTGGATTTCTTTTTAAACTTTCATTAAATTGGTTAACTGTACCTGGTACGTTTAGACAAAATGAAATAACATTATCGACATATTTTAAATCATATTGATACAGCTTTATAAATCATCACCGATGGATGATTGGATGTCTCTTTTAAAATTTCTAAAAAATAATAATCATTAAATTTAATACAGTTATGTTAATGAGGACTGGAAACAGTGTTACGTATAGCCATAAGGTGTGGCCTTCCCTAGGCTACATATTCAAATCCTTATGCATTCTGGAAACTTGGTTTCTAAAACCGGAAGGGACTACAAGGAATTGTGGTACAAATGAAAATGGAAAGAAAACATTATTGAGATTTTAAATTGCTCCCAGCTGTCAGATTAATTAAAGTCAATATCAGAACAAAGTTAGAAAGAATTTAACGCTTAACTATAACATATTTAAAGCCAGTGTTCAGCAGTAAATGGTCGTGGTAGCAAATAATATAATTTCCCTCCAGCAGTCTGTCATCTATGCAGATCCGGAGCAAACTGCAGAACTCGGCAACCAAAAAATGTTGTTTAAAACTTTGGAACAAGCAGTTCCAATTTTCTTGCATGCAGTACATCCTCAAAAATCCCCTGCTACATTAAATCTTGACATGTTTCTGGACACTGGATTGATTTCTGAAGTATTTCTGATGCAACAGGTACTTCCAAATAAAAAGAAAATATATAGCAGATTCAATTACTGTTGTTTAATTAGTGCATTTTATTTCTCAAACGGTCAAAGGTAGTATCTAAGTCAGGATAAGCAGCAAATGAAATAATGACAAACAGGAGAAAATCTGTCACTTTCTGTGTCACTGAACGTCTGACTTATTCCCTGCAGCAACAACACAAGGCTCCTCATGCACCTAGAAATTTAGTACTGTACGTACATAGTTTACCATTGAACGTGGTCATAGCTAGGAGTGATACCGAAAGAAATGGTATCCAGTTGTTGTGTTAGGGGTTATACAAGACAAAGTTTAGATTCCAAAGAGAAAGTGATATGGTGCTTCAGCAGCGAATCGAATGGGTAAAGTACATGTACATTGAACATCAGTACGTGTTTGCAAATGCACAGGTTGACTCCAAGAACACTAACGATACATTTTATACTACTCATGATGCGCACAGGAAAAAATCACGATTATAAAGTTATTCTACAGAGCACTAAAATCCCGTTTAGATTAGAAACTAACAGCAGCGACGATTTAATGGGATTTTCTAAAGAAAAAAAATGAACAAAGCCAATGAACCTGAGAGAAACTGATCATCCAAGTCGCACCCCTGTACCATTTCCATTTCCCGCTCACACTTCTTGCTGCCAAGGCCATTTGTACACATGCGTGCATAATTATAAAATTATTAGTGAAAAGGTCTATGGCCTGCTTGTTTTACGCGCACCTGCATTACGATAATTGATTGCCTTACAGACGTCCTCCGGCTTAGCGACCGGTAGGGGGTAATGATTACGGACGAATCCTGCCGCTTTTTATGCTAATGAGAAAATTAGCAATACCAATTCCCAACTTTGAAAGAATGGTTTAACACTCTCCTTTATACCAAGTCATTTCCTCACTCAACAAAACTTTCAGAGGTATTTACCTTTTTTAGGGTAAGTGCTTTAGGGAAAAAACTTGTCTTAAGTTTTCCCGAGAGCTATGTGTTCGGCTGTCACGCGTACGAATGGTCGTATTGTATGTAAACTTCATCTCTTTAAATAAAAATGCAATTGCCTATGCGCAGCGCTAAACCAACCAGGGACCCGAAAGGCCAGTTAGCTTATTGGTAGACTGGTTTCTGTCCCGTACATAGTCTCCAGACGTCTAGCACACGTCCTCCGAACGTTGGGACCGGTAGCTGGTAACGAATCTAACAGAATGCTACCCGTTTTATGTAAATGAGGAAACGATGCCCACTTAATGCACGAATTAATCAGAGCTGATATAATTGTTTTACTTTTCTTCTTATTTACCAGAAATAACCTTACCATAAATAATTATTGTTCATTTATCTTAAAAGCAACACAGTAACCGCTGATTTGAAATAAACTGCCGAGAATGTTCTATCAATGGTAATAATTGAAAAAGAAATTACTTCACTGTGATCAACAGAGGATGAGCAAGGATAGGTTAGTACCTTAGGTACCGAAACGTAATGTATGTTAAAGCATTGCTATTGGCCCGACAAAAACGTAAATATTCAGCATTCACACTCATTGGGCTAATAAACCGCAGCTAGCTACCGGTCAATATGTAATAAGGATAGGGAGCAGTCAAGACCACGATCAGGGATCTGAAATTGGTTCACTGACACCAGAGTCCGCCTAATGGTACAGGCGGGAACCAGCTTTGGGATCACTGATCGAGATCCAGATCAATGTGAAACAACAGGCCCAGTGCTTGAACGCAAAGCGCAAAGTGTGCTTGTCACATGTTCGTCTTGAGGCGAAGAGCATGATATTTCATTTCATTTATTAGTTTCTTAGGTTTTTTCATTATTGTGGCCCAACAAGCCAAATTACAAGAATGTTACTTGTTAAAATTAAAATACATGTACAATACATTAGAATACATCAAAAAATAGTAAGCACAGAAACATTACACACAATTATAATTATCAAAATTAATGTAAACGATTGTTAGTATAGCTTTTGTTACCACTAGAATAGCCTCAGGCGCCGGCGGATCCGGAGGGCCACTGACGGAGGGCCTCCGGTGGAGCGTCCTGACGTGCTTCTTTGGTAATTGTACAACATTTCGTGCGCACCGGAAATTGGTTTCTATTTCGGGATGCCTGTGGCTTTGTATGAGCGGCCAAAAGAGCAAAAATTAACAATGACAAAAATAAGGATAACAACAGAAATATAGATAAACACAGAAATAAAGGTAACCCTGCGGAAATACAAAGAGAAACACAGAAATAAAGATAATAAGCAAAAAATAAATACGATCACATAACTAAGATTACAGAACTGAAAAATATGTAGACAACAGAAATAAATTGAAATAACTACGCTCAAATAAAGACTGGAAAAATAACAGAAAACAGATGACAGAAAAATAGTAAGCCACAGAAATGAAGACCACGGAAACAAAGACGACAGAGGCGTGTATAAAGCTGGCGACAGAAAGAAAGACGACCATAGAAATAAAGACCGTCGCGCACATGTAAAGACAACCACAGAAATGTAGACCGTCGCGCACAAGTAAAGACGACCACAGATATATAGACCGTCGCGCACAAGTAAAGACGACCACAGAAATAAAGACAACGACAGAAACATTCATAAAGCCGACGATAGAAATAAAAATGACAACAGAAATATAGACCCTCGCGCACAAGTGAAGATGGCTGCGCACAAGTACATACCTGAACTTAGGCCTAATACTAGTAATAATATTACTAATTTTCGATTCAACAATAACATCAGAGAACGCGTTGCGAAAATCTTATCAGACATAGAAGGCAGCGGCAATATTCTTTGTGATTCAATCCAATATAGGCTGAACGGCTTTTGCAAGGATATTTTGGAGGTTTGATGCCTTGCGACATGAACCATCCCTGAGTGGCCAATGCACCGCTTGACACCACGGTCAATTTGACCGCGTCTTCCACCGAAAATTTATTTAGATTTGGCGGCTTAATTTTTAAGTAGCTTGTTGCCAAGCTTGGCGTATAAGGTATTAGGCTAATGACAGCGCCGTGATATAAGGTATCAGGCTAATGATAGCGCCGTGATATAAGGTATCAGGCTAATGACAGCGCCGTGATATAAGGTATTAGGCTAAAGACAGCGCCGTGATATGGGGTATTAGGCTAATGGCAGCGCTGTGATATAAGATATTAGGCTAATGACAGCGCCGTGATATAAGGTATCAGGCTAATGACAGCGCCGTGATATAAGGTATTAGGCTAATGACAGCGCCGTGATATAAGATATTAGGCTAATTACAGCGCATTGATATAAGGTATTAGGCTAATGACAGCGCCTTGATATAAGGAAGTAGGCTAATGACAGCGCCTTGATATAAGGTATTAGGCTAATGACAGCGCCGTGATATAAGGTATTGGCGATGCCGTTTACGTCAATTGATTTAGTGTTACTCATTTTATAATGTACCGTTTTTAAAAATTACTCCATGTCTAAAATGTCAGGCGTGGAAGCTGTTGTTTGAACCGTTTGAATTGGTGGCACTTGAATTGCCGGCGCTTTAACCTCTGTGGACAAAAATAGTGCAAATCCACCAATCGCTAAACGTCCATAATTAAATTTCTATTTTTGGCGATGGATTTATAAATCTTACTTTCTGATTTTCCTTCGTATTTTGCTTGCCAATTTTCATTTTGGCAAGCTGTTTTGTTTCATTTTCTTGCTGTGCTCGGCTAATGTTTTGCCTTGTTCTACTCGCTTTGGATTTATAATCTTTGTCACCGTCTTGACTTGGGTTTTGACCGTTTCCATCTTCTTTTATAATAGACCAATTCTTATTGATAGCTAAATGTTCAGTCGTAATCAACGTTGCCACTAAAGGCGACAGGTCCACCCCGTGTTTATAACACAGCTCCCTTAGGAAATGTCCCATTGTTTGACTAATGATGGGATTGTCGTTTAAATCTTCTGCTAAATTTTCTTCAGATTTTAAATAGATGTTAAACCCGACAAATTCTACCGGAGTGGCAATTTGAGTTTGAGTTTTTTGTGTCGGGGGGGGGGCTTTTTTGTGTATGGTGATATTTAGTTGTATACATGTAGTTTTTAAAATTTTATATGTCAGTTTTTCGTCACTTATTAATTGTGAACAGCAATAATTGTTAACTTTGATTTTAGTCGAGCAATTTTATCTTTGTAATGCGCTTTTGAATACTTTCAGTGGAAAGGGTGCAATATAAATGTTATTATTATTAAAAGTCGCGCGTAAAGACTTAGGATCGAATTGGGGTTAAAGATTCGATGTCCTTAATTAACAGAATATTCCTTTCCCAAATATTTTTAGACTCGCCCGTGGCTACGACTGAACAATCTTTCTTTGACATTGTGCTTATTTTCGACTGATTCTCGTTTTGTGTCATAGGCGAGGATACTTTTATGTCGTCCATTATATTATATACGTTATTAAACGCGTATTTGGCAGATATATATTCAAATGTATAAAACGTTAAATTAACTGCAATAACAAGCTCGATAAGTATTTGAATTAATGATCTCGAAAGCGGCCTTCTTTGGGAGGGTCCCCACTCCCCAGGTTGTTTGACCCGACATGAATTAGGATATATACGTGATTCTTTAACTGCTCGGATTCCCAGCACTGGTGTAAAAAGTCATTGAATTCGTCCATGTGGAGGTCCCGTTTCCCCAGCCATCGGATGGTCACCACGTTGCTTGGCCCAACCAGTGCACGAAGGAGTCACCAACGATCCACACCAACGCCTTGTATACGGGTTGCACCATGGCTCATGAAAGGAAAAGAACACCAAAGAAACATACATGCAATAAATAACAAAGAATTAAACGATATAGACCTATCGAGGTATAAGCTCGTTATTTAATGATTTGTGACCTTACTGAGCAAGGGCTGGGGATATGCGAATGTAACGCCGATACACACCCGATTGCCAACGACCCATCCGTTAAATCAAACAAGCGACGTAGAAATGCACGGCCAGGATGTACAGCCTTACAGATAAAATTCAAACTCC